ATGTTCTGTACTTCTGGAATGCTATCTGCTGTAGTTGTTCCCACTTCACCTTGTTAGGTAGGTCGTTCTTGGTTGGGTCAGTCAATTGTGCAGCAACTTCAGCGTAGTTTGGATGAACTTCCTATAGTATCCTGCTAATCTGAGATAGGATCTAACTTGCTGCTTGGTCATCGGAGCTGGTTCATCTTGTATGCATGTTAGCTTCTCCTCTTTCATGGCTATTTGTCGGTTGCCCACCTTGTGTCCAACAAAATCCAACACAGAATAGTCGATGTAGCACTTAGATGGTCAGACCTGCTTCCCTCACTTGCCTGAACAGCCCTCTAAGTTTCTTCAGGTGGTCTTCCCATCTGGCTGTGTGTGTCAGAATGTCGTCCACATAATGCTCGATGTTGGTGGTTTTGTGCAATATCTTTCTCATCATGCAATTGAATGTTGCTGCTGAGTTGACTAACCCATACTGCATCTTCTTAAATTGGTAACAGGGTGGCTATAGCCCCCCCCCCTTTAGCACCGAACCTGAGCCAGTGCATGTTAAACTAAAGTTAGTGAGTGAGCTTTTAGTTCGTTTAACCAACATTCAGTGCATAAATTAGTCAGTGTATCTACTGGTGTTAGCCAATTAGTTCCTTGCTGTAAGTCCCCCCCCAGTGGTACAGCGGTATGTCTGCGGACTTACAACGCTAGAAATCGGGTTTCGATACCCGTGATGGGCAGAGCACAGATAACCCATTGTGTAGCTTTGTGCTTAACTTCACATACAAACATCCTACATACAAACATCCTTGCTGTAAATGTTGAGTCTGTGTTTGCAATGAAGTACAATATATACGAAACTAGTCGGTATAAGTGGTAGTTCTGTTAGACGTTGTTTATTTGTAAAGTTAGGTCCTTTTAGTTACATAAAATCATGGAACTTATCCTGAAGAACTTGTAATCGAAAAAAAAAAACGCTTTCGTTAACATTAAGAGGACTGAACTTTCCATTCTTCTTATTACTGAATAATCCAAAAGAACCCGTAAAACAGTTGAATCTGTTTTAACAGTATGCATTTTAATCCCCAGCACAAGTATTAAAATCATTATTAGATTTTTCAGTAAACGGAACCTTGTAGCTCAAATATTGAGCTACACATTTTGTAACATCTGTTTTTAACCTTATGGTAGAACAGTAAACGTTCCAAGTCAATGTTTTATTTAAAGATTATGTTTGCAAAATCACACCTAGAATAGGCTGAGGGGAAACTGGAATGGTACAAGCTTTTTAAGGTGACTTAGTGTTGTGTTGGAATCTACATGTATGGTCAGATTATTTGGAAAACTATTCATATATAGTGTTTAATCAGCATTATAATTTATATTAGAATGGTAATTTTATATCTAAACAATTAAATGTTTCAAAAGAAGTTAGTAATGTAGCATATAATAAATTAATTAGTTCCGTTTTTAGGTCACCGGTAGAAAGGTACATGTTGTAACAAATATGCATTTTTTTTTTTTCGGGTGAAAGAACGTATTTAGAAATTAGCTGTTTGTTATATTATTTAAAAATTTTGGCAACTTCTTGAACATAGTATTTCTAAGTTTGTTGATAGAAAGGCTATGTTTTTAATATATTAATTTAGACGCATAATGTATTTTGCAAGAGGTTTTGGCAGGATGTATCATGTAGTGATGATGTGAATAAAGTGAGTATAGATAAGTTCAACAAGTTCGTGTTCTGTGTAGTATCACTTATCGTTAGTCCATCAAACTATATAAAAAGTGGACGTATAGTCATTCACTTTCAGTATTACTGTTAGTATCAATTAACAATAAACTTACAAGTTTGACTATGTGAAGCTATATTCGTTAATACTTTAACGCTGTTCCTTCTCTCTTCCTCATACTAATAATATTGTGACACAGTAACACGATAACCACAAATACTAATAATCCCTCACAGATAAAAGTAAAAGTTTCGAAAAAAACATAGAACCGCGCTTCTTCCCAAACTACTTCGGAGTAATTCGCCCTCTCACGGTGTGTATTGTTTATTCCACTAACAATGGGAACATTTTTTATATTTTATTACTATTAGGCGTCATAGCCAATACACATACAATAAAAAAAAGTGTATTTGCTTTTTAAATTATAATAATTCATGCCAAATTATTATAATTTAGAAAGCAAATACACGTTTTTTTCTGTTTATTTGCTCGGCTGAGAGTTATAGAAATGTCAAATGATAAAGAAAACTGCATTCAGTTTAATTGAATAATAGAATAGTTAATGCCTAATGCTAATGACAAACTTCTCTTAAAAAAATATACTTATCATGTGGTATTCATCCAAACACTGGGAATTTCTCCACTGTCAATTGCTCCCCCCCCCACCATTTCTTTGCTAAGCTTTAGGTTTTAAAGATAAGTTATTTCAAGACTAGAAGGCCTATTTACAGGGTATAAAATTTTCCAAGAATTTCCAAAAACATGATTTTTCTTCAACAAAAAATTAACTCTCTCCTTTTTAATTTTCATGGTCTATATGGGAAGCATAAAAATTTCTAAAGTATATTTTGAATAACATTTAACCAAAGCTAAATAATATAAAATCTAATATTCTAAAAGCAACCAAGTCTCGAGTTATAACTTGTTCCAAAGGCATTAGTAAATGAATTATATGAAATTATTACTAATTTGATCTTGGTTAAAAGGAGTGCATTCTTTCCAAAATCTGGATAAGTAGAAGAAATGATTAATAAATGAAAATTAGCAAAATTTCAAGAACATGAAAGTAGTAATATGAAGAAAGCTGAAGTTTATTTTAATATAAAAAAAGAAGATTGAAAACCTTTTATGTAAAAACGTTAAGTCTTACATAATGGTTTTCTACTTAAAGGTGAATTATAAAGAGTTGAATAAATTAGTGCAGTTAGGATTCCTTTTTTAACACAGTTCATTTATATATATATAGATGCACTATTTTTCCTAAATTTTGCAAAGATAATCTGATACAAGAGTTCAGTGTGATTAACTTGAAATATCTGATTCCATATCATAAGAAGATACTTCATACACTATGCTTTGATGTGTTATAATTGAGATATGTCTTTATTATTGGGTATTGCTGTGATGTTATAGTTAAAGGAGTATTCACAAAGTACATATCTGGTTGTGGATTAAATCTTAATGTTTACATTATGTATATGTGTATGTAAGTAGGGGTTTAAAAGTATCAATACTCTTCAAGATTCAGGGGCTTGGATAATTTGTTAGAAGCCAGGAAACAAAATTCCCCAAAACATGGAGCATAATATGCTGCTGGTTGGTACATATTGTGTTAACTCTGTGCCAATAAGATGGCTTCTAGGAAGAGTGGTATGCAATTTAGTACATATTTTATAAATACTAACTTGTTTTTTAAAGAGTAGACGTAGAGCTTATAAATACTATTCTAAAAGGAATTCCAATGATTTTTGTGAAGTTTTCACATGTTCATGGTATACACTATAAAGCAAGAGTGAGAGAAATTGAAACAAGGTCATTGTAGGGTACTACTTTTTTCAGTTTTATTCACTGAAACTTTTGATACACAAAGGAATTGACAAGAGAGTAAGTTATCCATTTGTTTCAAACACATGTTCAAAATTTTAAACAAAATCTGTAGATCACCTGTAGAAGTTATTAAATGAAAGAAGTTTAGAGGAAACTCTTATTTTCTCCTTGTAACAGACAGTTGTTATAGTTCTTGACACAAAATTAATCAAGACATATCTGTAGAAAAATGCAGTGGTTTTTGAATGGCTTTAATTTATTTTGAATATTCTATAATTGTAGATTTATGAATCGTCAGAGTATGAATATAGTTATTAGTATTAGGTCGTCAAGAAATTAATGTCGCGTTTTGAAACACTTTCATTAACCACCCCCCAAAAAACGTACATCACGTATAATAGTTAAACGTTATATATGTATTAGATCGTCAAGAAATTTATGTTGCGTTTTGAAACACTTTCATTATCCACCCCCAAAAAACATAAATCACGTATAATAGTTAAACGAACCACCTAAACGTCATGTTACTGTAGCCAATATAATGTGTAAAGTTTAGTATACTCTAATCCCTTATAGTGATGGCACACAACGAGACACACATTCGGCATGTAATGCTGTTTGAAAACAAGAAGGGAAACAACGTCTCTGTAGCCACAAAAAATATCCAAGAAGTTTATGGAAATGTTTTGAATGTTCGTAAGTGTCAACGATGGTCCAGCAAATTTCATTCAGGTGACTTTAGTCTTAGAAATTGTGATGGCAGGGGCCATCAACTGCTGAATTTGAAATGTCGTGGGTTGTCCTTGTGATAATAGAGCTGTAGATTTTGGGGTTGGCTAGATAGGTT